AGTAATAAAGAAATCAATTTTAAAACAAAAATACTTTTCCCTTCTACGTGTCCATCATCTAGGATTTGATCGTGAACTACTACACTAACTTGCAACTGAGTTCGTCACTTAGAATATATAAATTCTCTAAATTTCCTAAGTCCCTAAACCCTTAAGTTCGTAAATCAAGTGAAGTAATTCTTAGGCACTTCAGATACCTGTAAGACGTAAGATTCCCTAAGGTTGTAAAGTCCGATGATAAGGAAGTTACTTACCGCAGTAAAGGAACTTAGATATATTACGTGAAGTAACTAGAGAAGATTATTTCCTGGTGACAATGCTAACAAATACAACTGTAATAAATTCTTTTATCTAATAAAATTCTATTTACTTAACAACCCATAATTATACTTTGTTCTTAAAATACATATTCATTATATACACCTTCAGAGCTTTTCATAAACTCTCATTTCATAAATCTGAAAGCTAAATCCTTTGTTAATTTTGTGTTAATACTAATTTTCTGTTATTAGTATTATAAGATAGTCATTAATATCATAAGATAGTAATATAGTACAATAAAATATATGAAAAATCATATGATAATAAGGTAGAATATACGTATCTATCTAATATATTGTTAAATTTATACTTAAAATTTTTAATTAATTTATATTATTTATTATTTATCTTTTATTATTTTATTTTTATTATTTTTTTTTAGATTTAATATTATAAAATTTTATTATTATTTTTTATTACTAAAACAATTATATTATTATAATATTTTTAAGTAATTATATTTTTAATAATATAATAATTACATTTTATTAAACTTAATTTAAATAATGATAATAATAAAAAAGAAATAGTATAAGTTAATAATAACAAATTAAAATCTTTTATTTATACTAAATTAATTATCATATATATAATTATTAAAGCTAATTTTTATTTAAAATTTTTTTAAGTTAAATTAAAATAAGTGTTTATAATTTTGATATTATATATATAATTATACAAATTGGTTTATTATTTTTATTGATTTTTTTTTTAGTTATATGTATTATAATTTAAAATAAATAATTTTATTTTAATTTTAATTTATAAGATAATAAGACTAATTCAAATATTTTAATGATAATAGTAAATAATTGATTCTAATTCTTTTTTCTAGCAATTATAGGTAAAATTTTTAATTTTTAAAAATTATCAATTATTTATTTGTAAACTCAATATATGATATAATAAAATTTCTAAAACTGAATTGAAAACTTTGGAACTTTATTTATAATATTGATAGTTTGCTTAATATTAATAATCACACTCATAAGGAAATCTTATGTTGCTAATTAACATTTTAACGCTTTAATGTTAATCTTTACATAAATTATGAGTTGCTTTTACATAAAATCTGCTTTTCTGTTTACCGGTATGGACCAATCAGTTTATGATTTTGGTAATGGCATGAACAAGATTGATGACACTTAAAAAAATGTACGCTGCGGAGTCCGCACATACCATTATGCATTTAATAATATTATAACTTTCGCGTGGATAAATGACCATATTATTGTATTAATTGTCGAAAATTTTCCCTAATAAGGCGGTAAACTATAAAATCAAATAAGGTAATGATAAGTAACGAAAGCCGTATTTAAACGAAATTTGATGTAGCAGAGTCTTTTCCGCGTCCATTTAGTTTCCTATAACTGGTCATCATCTCGCACAAAAATACACGTTCACTTGACACATTGTTTCTTGCATAACAAAAACTTATAAATATACTTATGAAAAATCGGTTATGTTGTGACATATTCAAAGCGGGCGTGCATCCATTTTTATTTTTATATTCTGCATACAGTATCCATTAATTTACTCTGATTTTTTGTATATGCGCAGCATTGTCACGTGTACATTTTCTAGAGCTTTCTTTATTTTTCTTGCTTTTTATTGTTCAATAAATAGAGCACAAAAAAAAAGGTTCCTTATTCGAAACGGGAAGGTGAGGCAAGTTTTGTACGTCGGTTTTTTTTTGCAATATGAAGATAAAAAAACCCCAAACATGGTCAAATTAATATTTTACATCTGTTTTGTTCGAACCAAAAAAAAAATTTATAAGCGATCAAATCTACTTCTATATATAGGAAATTAATCGGAATTGATTGAGATAAGATAAAATTTGAATCTCTTACTTGTAATGGGATTGAAGAATCAAAGATAAGAGAATGGGGATCTTTTTTCTTTCTCTCTAATCATCATCTAATATATGGATTCCCTTTTTAAAGTTAAATCATGATGTCACGATATTAAATAACGCATCACAACAGATCACATGCCATCTGAGGTACATGACAAAATTATCAAATAACACCCCGTGTTAAACATTTCACCACATTACATATTAAGCCACATGACATATAAACATAAAAAGGGAAAGCGGTTCTACGAATCTACCTGTTTCTCTACAAGTTTTCCCATTTATTAATAATCACGTCAAAAAATTTTTTTTTTTTATAAATAAACCACCATTTCTTTGGTGTTACGGCTAACCCAACCCCACTTCCCCAAGATTTTTTTTTTTTTAAATTCAAATAAATATCGTACGTTTTTTTTTTCCAATTTTTTTTTCATTCCCTCCTTCTTTCCAATATTGATTAATTGAAATATCACTTTTACCAAGCAACAAATAAAAATTATTTCTCTTCGTGTTTATTTTAAAATCATACACAAATGCCATCACCATATATCTTCATCCCAGCATTAATATTTTGTGCACCACTTATTCTCAGTGTAGTGGGAACCTTTACCGCATTTGCGGCAATAACTTCTGTCTTGGCTCTCACTGTTGTAGCGATCCGCTTAGGATTCTTGGTAATAGAATTTTCAGGTGGTTTCCTATTAGACTCTATAACATGGTGTGTAAGGAAGGTTATCCCAGAAAATCCTCACAACGATAAGAAGAACAGCAAAAAGAATTCAAAGGACATTTCTAATAAAAAATTACATCAACATCATCATGGAAAGAAACTTCATAAAAGCAAACAAAACATATTGGCAACGTCAAAAATTTCTCCTAAAATGACTACTTTATGGGAAAATACCGATGGTTTTAATGGATTTGTAAATAATTTTGTTAGTAAGGATGATTATTTCATGGCTAGCAATAAGAGACCAAATGGGAGGAGGGCAAGAAGCGACTTTATCTAAAGAACTTTTTTTTTTTTTTTATATATATATATGTATAGAAATAATGTGCAGAGCAGGTTATTTTTTTTTTTTTTTAAAAAAAAAAAATTTGTAAAATATTTTGCTTTTCTTTTTTCTTTCCTTTCTTTTTTTTTTCCTTAGTTTATGTTAGAAACTGGGCTTATTGAATGTTAAATTACTTTTATGAAGACCCATTTATTATCCTTTTTGAAGCACAGTTTTTGTTTTTTTACACACATAGATATATCATTATAATTTTACTGTATAAATTTTATAAAGTTGAAAAATAATTTCATTATATTCGTTTTATTTGCAATAAAAAAGTATGCTTTTACATTTACAATATTTTTTAAATAAAAAAATGTCAAAAAGAACAGTTTTTTTTTATTCTAGTAGAATTACTTAAACGGAAAAAGATTTAAAATAATTTCCGAAGAATGCTAACCACGTTTATCGTTATCGTCTATAAAAAATATAAATGAAATCTTACGTAAATAACTATTCTCAATAGTTTTCCAAAATGGAAGAAAAGAATAATGTATTGAACACAGAAAAAAAGCTGTGATCAACATCCCTTTTGCCTTAATTTATTTTGCATAATTTATGATTATTAATGAGACGTTACATATACAATTAATGATTTTTTTTTTTTAACGAAATTAATTTATTTACTTTTAAAATTACAAAAAAGAGAAAAAGAAAAAAATCATCATCTTTTTCCAAAACCTATTACAAATATAATACATTCAAATTAAAAGCATTTAGCGCTATTTTATTAATTATTAATTTTGCACTAACAGGGTAATTGGTCAATCTTGAAGTGATGATTCACGATCTTCATATTTTTTCAAAAATTTTCCTTGAACCTCACTGGCTCTAACGACCTTTTTATGATCAAAAATATGTTCATCATCATCATCCGCAATAATTGTAGCGGAAAATCCAAAAGAAGGATAATGGATAGGAAAAGTTAATGATTCATTACTATTCCTTATATCATTATTAGAAAAAGAAGGCATTCCTTCTTCTTCTTCTTCTTCTCCTTGCTGTTGTTGCTGCTGTTGTTGCAATTCAAGTGGGGCGGGTATGGCAGGGAATAAATAGATTTCATCATCATCATCATTACTATAAGTAAAATAAAAAAGTTCGCTAGGGTCAACTAAAATAGGAATTTGTTGACTTTTTCTTGTTTCTTTGCTAAATCTTTGTTGGCTAATCCTTCCTTTGTTAATTAAGCTAAGATGAGAACTATTAATACTTAAATTACTTAATCTACTAATTATACTCCTTCTATCCTTATTATTTTGTAATTTTATTCCATGTTGATTCGATTCACGAGTAATAGCATTTAAGTAGAACATTAATGAACTACCAAAATCTTGTGTTATTCTTTGTCCATCAGGAGATTGAGGTTTTTCATTATACTCATCATAACCTGAATTAGATGTATCGTATTTAGCACTTTTGTGTATTATTATTGGAGGTAATGAAGGAGGGACGGAATCCACTTTTGTTGATGAAGTAAATGAAGAAAGAGTTGGCGATGGCATTCTAACTTGATCTTGCGGATAAGGTTGAAATGTGGTAAAAGACTCATGATGTTGATATTGTGTTGACCCATCATCAATATTTTTGATATTGATAGACCTATCATTAATGTTCTTAACATTGGTAGAGGAAAATGGACGAAAGAAAGGTAAGTGAGTCCTTTCTCTATCATTAAATGACTTTGTATTAACTAATGATTTTTGTACACAAATCGAAGTTAATACTAATAATGGGGTTACATTTATAAATTTTCCCAAGTAACTCTTTCCATCAAACATAATTATTACATTCATTGCTTGTGACAATGCTATTAATGATATGTACATTAGACCCTATTTCAAAATAAGCAAAAGTTGATTCGTTAGTTCAAGTTTGTCGCTGTTTGTTCAAAAATTATCATAGTTTGGATAACTTACGTTGTCGAACAAGATTCTACGCCAATATCTTGATTTACCAAAATTAGGTGAATTACTTGTAGAATACATGGCATAAATGGCAGAAGTCCAAATCACCCAACAATAAATCATTAACATGACAAATCCGATTGAGAGCGATTGTGCTCCTACGGTCGCATTCGAAAGATAACAATTACCATCTTGTTTATTGACATCGATCCCATCAAATTCCACTATGTTAATTAAGTTAATGATCAATATTATCATGGCGGACAAAAATAAAGATATGACGAGATACGACTTATTAGGGTAAAATATTCTGAATCGAATTAACAATACAAAACAATGAAAGCTTGTACTTAAAGTAAAAAAACTTTGTTGTAATAATGATAAAATTGTACATGATAATGATGTGTGCGATTTATAATGTAAAAAGATTAATGTTAATATGCAATAATTCAAAGTCGATATCCTAAAATTAAATTAAAAAAATTAGATTTTTTCCAAAAAATAAAGAAATGAAAAAGATTGCTGCGCCGTCTCCGAATTACTCACACTTCTAGAAACAAACAGACCACTTCTGGGATAGTCCACAATCTAGATTTATACCATTTGACAACTTTAAAGCTACATGATATTAATTCGTAAAAATATATTGCTATGGCACAACTAGCATATATTTCTAATCCACGAAATTCTTCCATCAGCATTATAGAAGTGGATGGTATCGGCAATGAATTGTTATTATTAGATGCCATATTGAATTATGTTAAATATTATTAATTTACAGAATGAAAAAAAAAGGGAAAAATGAAGGAAATTCTTTGAAGGGAAAATAACCAGCCCTAGTCTATATTTTATTATTATTTTTTTCTTATTTTAAAAAAAAAAAAGACTTATCAAAAGTCTAAAAGGACTAAAAAATGAAAAAAGACGTTTTTTTCAAAAAAACGCTTTTTTATTAATGAAGCAGAGAATGTTACTCCATTCACTCGCCAAAAGTAAAACGACTCTTTTTTTTTGAATAAAAAAAATTGGGTTATTTTGAAAGTGACAAAGCCCTTCTCTTTATATTTTTGTGTTAATTTATATTAATTAATCTATAATACTATCTTATTATTATTATTATTTATCTTGTATATTATTTATAGTTACAGGAAAATGTTCCATTGTTTTGAAACCCATTATTGGAAATCATCCACTACGGGCACAGTCGTTTGATCGTTCATTGGTCGTTGCTTCCTTCCTAATGACTTTTTTTTTTTTTTTTTTCGTTGTTACATTTATCTTAAAACGTTGTTACCTTTCTTTATGCACTAGATAAAACGGCCAAGGTTGTATTTTCTTGAAGCTAAAAATATATGTTCTCTTTATGAGGACAATCGTGACGATCCCATGTTTGCTGTGATACAACATAATTGGTTAAACATAATATGATGTCGACTTTTTAATCCAATCAGATTTCATTTTTGGATTTTTTAATTCATGAAACATAAGAAAAATTATCCTTTATGAACAATATGTTTCCAAAATATATAAAAGGTCAAATATGCATGTCCGACATTATTCAGGATATTATTGTTTGTAAGCTTAATTTGGAACATGTGAATGGTAAAATCCAATTTCTTCTTAGGCTTGTGAAATTAATTAATGATCAGATCAAAAGAAATTTTCCAACGGGATTTTTATTTGTTTCATATATTTAAATGTATTATTCTTCCAAGATGGTTTAGTAGTGATTAATTGGAAGGGGAAAAAAAGAAAAACTTTTTTTTTCTTGTTTATTTCGCTAATAAAAAACATGTGAATATGTTCTGGTACACCAAACGCTTGTAAAATTATTTTGAACGGAAAACTGCCGGGAAAAATAAAGTCATTTTCTATTTCCCGGCAGTTTCCTCTCTATCACATGATTGGCGTTCTTTTTTTAAAAAATTCCATGCAATTTTCTAACGCAACGCGTACTAAAATATACGAACACAAAGTATTATTTTCGTGATTCATGCGTTTTATTTAAGAAAAGGTGAAGGTTCAAAATAATTCAACGAAATTATCATATCGATGGAGAATTTCTTTACGAATTTTCATTTGCAGATATACGTATGATTGAATAGCACATCGTTTTAAAATTATCTTAAAGGAATGTTAAAAGACTTTGTTTCAAAATTTTTTTGGCGGCTGTATATCTTATCAAATGAAGAATTGTCATATTTTTATATATAAAGAAAATCTTAAATTTAACCAATTTAAAAAATTAAGCCTTTATGGTTAGGTTATTTCTAACAAAAAATTCTTTGCTGAATCTTACAAGTTTTATGCTATTAATCATATGAAAATTGTATTATATTTTAACGGATATGTCTATCCCTTGGTTCATTTTTCCAAATGCCTCATACAAAATCAAAAATTTACTATAATGAACGAGAAATCGTATATTGTCCTATCACCTTGAATCTAAAGAATTGTGAGACTTAAAATCTCTTTTGTTTTGTTACTCAATTTTCGCACCAAATAAGAAAGAAATGTATATATTTAGAAATTCTTTATGATTTTGGAGCTAACTTCGGTTTATGTAATATGTTATGTTTACGTAACGAATTCTTTTTTGTGTCACATATTCATCTGCATAAATTCATGTCATTCGTCATAATATTAAACCATCTTTCATTATTTAAAAAAAAATATCTGCCTTTTTTTTTGCTTGTAATAACGACTTCTTTCTTTTTAGTAAAGTTTTATCCATTATTCATTATCTATTTGGTACATTTATAAGCATAGCAATATCAAACAAAATCTATCCTTGTTTATTTTATTCTTTTCATACACCTCCGTTCGTATCTCTCCTCCTTCCCTCGTTCCTTTACAGGATGACAAGCATAGCAAATCTTCCGACCGAATTACTTGAGCAAATGATTTCATACTTGGACTATCCGTCATTATTAAATTGTCTGTATCAAAATCATAAATTCTTTTCTTTAACTATTCCATTGGTTTGGAAGAATTTAGGTGAAAGTTATTGGGGAAGCACAGCGAAAACCCCTTTACGTTGGCATTTAATATCAAACACGTTATCTTCCTCGGAGTATAATTTCATTAATTACGCAAATTTCGTACAAAAGATCGATTTGTCTTGCACCTTTTCCCCCGCTTTTCGTATACCAAAGCAAACTTTATTTCATCTACTCATCCATGGTATTAAGCTTCGAGAGGTTTATTTTGAGTATCATAAAGAATCTTCTAATGTTGAACCTTTTGAATGTTTAAATGAAATCCTTTCTCCTTCCTTTATTGATCATCATGACAATTCGTTACAAGTTTATACCCCTCCGACCACCCCTTCTTCTTCTTCTTCTTCTTCTTCCCCTCATTCCTCCTCTTATCCCTTTCCTCCTCCTTTCGTAAAACTCAATGCACCGATACGTAAAGTCACGATGAAATTATATAGCGTTTCACCAACGTTAATCATCTCATTGTTCTCAAAATATATTAATACTTTAGAAGAATTGACCTTAAAGATCATGTACGAATTAAATCCTTTACCTATGGATGATTTGAGATATTTAGTAATCAATAATATAAACTTAAAACACATGGACTTGTTTACTTTACAAGGTGCAAGGGTTCTTGATGAAGAAAATTTGAATACATTCAGGTCAAATGGCGAGTTACCTAACGCTGACTATTGGTGGACCGATGGGATAATTTAGGATTCCTTTTGGGTTATACAAATTTGAAATTCCAAACAAATACCTTTCTCTTATAATTTCTAAATACAATTTTGGGTAGTCGTGTTTATTTTTATTGTTAATCAAGGAATATTATAATGGAAATAAATTTAATTTTTTTTTTTAAAAAAAAAACTTTGAAATAATCATATTAATAATAATAATAATAATGATAATAATAATCATAAAAAATAATCATTTCTCTTCATATTTCTTTGGGTCAACTCCGTGAGAGCGATGGTTAGCGAAATTGAACAAAGGAATGGAGGCTAATATCAATCAAATATAAAATTAGTCTTTTTCTTTTTTTTTTAAATAAATATAAAAGAATTCAACCACTCTTACTTACAAAATTTCAAGGCAGAATACCTTGTAAACCATGATGAGGCCTTTTGATTAAATTCCGACATATATTCGGGTCCATAAAGCGGTTTACCTTGTTCCACCAACTTTGTCATTTCTTGTCTATCCTTTTCTACCTCTTTGTAATTCTCTATCCATCCCCAAAATCTCACTTTGACAAAAGAAAAAAGGGTCAGAGTTTAATTTTGAGTCGTAATGAATTAATTATTAAAGAAACAACACATACAGCTGCTTCTTTGATAAGCAAGCAAAAATCCCGCCGATGCTCCAAGAACTGTTGATAATTTTAATGCTATTGGTAATCCTTTTGAGGGTCCACCGGTTCTCTCTATATATTATTATTCGATTAAAAAATTTCTCGATTAATTCGAATCTTATCATCGAGAATTATCGATCCAATCGAGAAACAAGAGTAATAAAGCCTTAATTTACCCATCATGAACATGAAAGCAGGTCCGGTGGCGGTGACGCTTGCCCACAAAGCATAATCTGAAGGCCTAAAGTATTTAACTACTCGATTAAAGTGCGGATCTATATCAATTACTTCATATTCGGTTCGACTTGATTGTGTTTGAGTCATATTATGTGAATAACGTTTTTTTAAAAAATTGTATAAATTAATTTTCAACAAAAATTTTAAAAGGTTTTTTTTTGTGTAATCAATAATTCACGTGTGATGTTTCACGTGATCCGACATAACCACACTTTACGTGACACAAAAGTTAAAAACACCGAAAACTTTTTATTATGGGTTTTTATTAATGGAAATGTTAATAACTTAAAATTATATACTATAATGTATATATATCATTTCTCCATTTGGAAAAAAAAAAAAAACTTTCTAAATTACTAGTATTATCTACTTTTTTTTTGCAAAAATTTGTAAATTTTTTTTCCTTTAATTTCTTTTTAAATTTACTTTAGCTCCAAAAAATTACAAGTCATTACCATGGTAATCTTTTGGGTTAAAAGCAATTTCAAAAAGAAAATCGTTAAATAAACTTACCTTGAACCATTCATTCATCAATCATTCTCAACATTTTTTGTGTTGTTTCTTGACTGATATTATATGTATTGGGATCCGTTACTTCTTCGAATTGTGTATTCTGTGTTAAGATTTCAAAGTCCAAGTCATCCTAAATTAGAAAGATAATGTTAGTCTAAATCTAAATAATACAAATCCTTGTCTTTACTTTCAGGGAACTGCAACGTGCCAGATCCATTTTAAGCTCATCCATAGCTTTCCACGATGATTTCACAGCTTCCAACTTTTTAGCCAATTCACTACATCGTCTAAAATAAAATAAAATCAGTTGACCGTCAATGTACGTAACGCATTGATCAATCCGATTGTAATAAATATATATACTTTTGAATTTCCTCGGTAGCTCGCCTTCGATTCTCCAATTGATTTCTCATCATTAATCGCAAGGTTTCTCTTGCCTTATTTAAAAGATCAAAGTTTTAAAATTAACAATTTTTATTAATAAGAATAGAAACAAATTAGACGATTGTCTTTACCCGATGTGGACGATATTCATTTAGCATATGTTTCATGTTAACAAATATTGTCTGGATTTGTTCCAATTTGTCTAACGACTAAGGGGATAAAAAGAAATGCAAGTTTAGCTCATGCTCAAACTTCATGAAATAAAGTACCTATATTAATTATTTACTCGTTCAGGCTCTTTAACCAAGGAATTAAGTAATTCAAGGAAATTGAAAATCGCAGAATGATTTAGTTTCTTAAATTCTGCAACCCGATCTATTAAGGAAAAAAAAATGAGATAAAATTATCTATAGTATTTATAACAAAAAGTAAAAACAGAGAGTTACCTATCTCGCCTGACGGATATAATTGCTTTTGCTCGTTCTCCTCCAAAGAGGGTAAAACGTCGACGACCTTTATAAACCTTATATATCTGTTACATTTGACAATATCCATTTAAAACAAAACAAAACAAAACGATAACTTACTGTCCATTTATCTTTAAACGAGAAATAATGTCCTTCCGTTACCGGAGGTGGGGGTTCTAATTCAAAAATGTTAAAGTTTGGTAAATTGCCTCCAGAAGCGACAAATGCCTCTTCCCCGTGTTCTTTAACTTGTTTAAGGATAGCGAGGTTTTCGTCCGTATATCGTTTGTAATATTCCGGAGGTCGAGGATAAACGGGAGCAACGTTTTGTGTAGTCATTGGTAAAGTTAAATATGTGATACGAGTTTAAATTCACAAATAATTGTCTCTGATAATTCAAACGATAAATCTCGGGAAAAAAAAATTTGAAAATCTGTTGTGTCACTAAACATAAACAACCAAATTTGGTAAACTGGTAGAAAAAAAGTTATCAATCTGACTGGAGAGAGAATTTGAACAATTTGAACAAAATGACGAGCGATTCAGAACAAACCTCAAATTCTTTCAAAAAACGAGGTTTGAATTTCACTGGATCATCAAAAAGTCAAAACAAAGGAAAGAATGTTGATTCAACTAATCGTTCAAGGTCTAAAAAATCAAGAATTCACCTTGAATATGAGCCGGTTGTTACTGATATCTTTCAAGAAGAAGCCATAAGAGAAGTAGCCCCTTCCAAAGGTCTGGTCAAACAAACGGTGACGCCCGGCGAAAAGTTACTACTTGGGCATAAAGTAAGTTGCAATTTGTTCACAATTGGCTTTGTAGCTGCGTGTGATTAACAAAAAAAAATAATGTTTTTCATGAAAAAAGGTACGCCACCAAGTAGCTGTTCCTCCAAACTACCTTTATGTTCCAATTTCCAAACATGTACCGCCAAAAGAGCCGGCGTGGACTTATCCTTTTAAATTGGATCCTTTTCAAGAACACGCCATATCTTGTATAGAAAGATCCGAATCTGTATTGGTGAGCGCGCACACTTCTGCTGGTAAAACGGTCGTAGCTGAATATGCCATCGCTCAAAGTTTAAAAAACAAGCAAAGGGTCATTTATACTAGTCCGATCAAGGTAAAATATTTTTATTTAAATCACAATTACGTCTCTTGCGTCGTGTTATTCATTTTTACATTTTAATCTTGTCAAGGCGTTAAGTAACCAGAAATATCGAGAATTACAACATGAATTCAAGGACGTTGGTTTAATGACCGGGGATGTCACTCTTAGCCCAAATGCAAGTTGCATCGTTATGACAACTGAAGTCGGTTTATATTTCCTTTGATATATTATTGCATCATTACAATGGGATTTCCATCATTTCTAACCGATGAAATTTTGTTATTAGATTCTTCGTAGTATGTTATATAGAGGCAATGAAATATTACGTGAAGTAGCTTGGGTTATATTCGATGAAATTCATTACATGAGAGATAAAAGTAATTATATATATAATTTTTGTTTTCAACCATGTATATGCATAATTTAACTGATTAAACTACCATTTTTATATCCTAAAAAAAAATATTTAGCTCGAGGTGTTGTTTGGGAAGAAACAATCATAATGTTGCCTCATAACGTCCACTTTGTTTTTTTATCTGCCACAATTCCAAATGCTATGGAGTTTGCTGAATGGATATGTAAGCTTCACGAACAGGTGAATAATATTGATAATAATTAGTATCGTTTAAGTTTATATTGAAACCCTTTCTCATTTTTATGTTTTACCCGAAGCCTTGTCACGTTGTTTATACCGATTTTCGTCCAACTCCACTACAACATTATATGTATCCTGATGGGGGGAATGGAATTTATATGGTACTTGATGAAAAGGGTTTATTTAATGAAGAACATTTCCAGGAGGTTCTTTCGCATTTACCGGACGTTCTAAATGGCGAGGAAAATCCCAGCAAAAGAAAGAGTATGTATCATTGTCTATATATAAGCTGGTTTTCTAACATTTATTAATGTATTTAATATTTTATTGATAGTTACGGACACGCCTAATGTTTATAAGATTATTAAAACGTGTATGCAAAAAGGGTTTAACCCGGTAATTGCTTTCGCTTTTGGTAAAATGCAATGTGAAATTTTAGCAAGACAGATGAGCGTCATGGATTTTAATAATGGCTAGTATTAGCGATTTATGTTTTTATTATTTTAATCATGATCATTTTGTAAATAATTAATCTTTTTTCTTTTTGCTTAATTATTTAGATGATGAAAAAGAATTGGTAAAAAAAGTCTTCGAGAATGCAGTTGATTTACTACCAGAAGAAGATCGTCATCTATCATCATTTCATAACATGCTCCCTTTATTAGAACGCGGTATAGGGGTACATCATTCTGGGTTATTGCCTTTTATGAAGGAAGTAGTGGAGCTTTTATTTCAAGAAGGGCTATTAAAAGTTCTTTTTGCCACAGAAACATTTGCCATGGGATTAAATATGCCGGCAAGGACCGTAGTTTTTTGTGAATTAACAAAATTTGATGGAATCAAAAGAAGAACGGTTTGCTAGAATTTCTTACCCTCTAATATGTTCGTTTACTAAATAATTCCGATTCGGTTTCGTTTAATTTTATTTATTAAATTTAATGGTAGATGACATCTGGTGAGTATATTCAAATGTCGGGTCGCGCTGGACGTAGGGGTCTTGATGAACGAGGTTATGTTATGCTGAACATTGAATCAAAAGTTAGTCCCTATATTATCAAGGAAATGGTCAAGGTAGATAATATTATGATTGATTAATAATAAAATTTAACGACCAAAAATTAATTTTTTTTGCCTAATTTTTTTTTTCCTTTACGTGAACCTATTGTATAATCTAGGGCGAGGCAGATCATTTGAGATCTGCATTCCATTTAAAATATCATATGATCCTTAACATGTCGAGAATTGAAGGCATTAGCCCCGAATACATGTTACAACGCAGTTTTTATCAATTCCAAAATTCGGCTCCTTTGCCGCGTTTTCAAGAAGGTACGGGTTGTTAAGAGATGTAAAGGACCACTACGAACAAATTCATTTAAACTTATTTCGTTGAAATTAGAACTTAAACAATTGGAGGAAGAACATAAAAATTTTGTCATACCTCAAGAAAAATTGCTCGATGAATATTATAAACTTCGCAAAATATCTGATGAATACGCTGACCGAATTCGAGCCATCGTCTTTGAACCGCAGAATAGTATTCCATTTATGAACCTCGGAAGGCTTGTTAAAGTAAAGTGTAACGGCGTTGATTACGAATGGGGTATGATCGTTCGTTATGAAGAGATAAAGGTAAGACAAGTGAATTGTTATAAAAGCGATACGAATGAAAAATCGGGTTGATCACTAAACATCTAATATTGTCACTTAGCCATCGCCTTGGTCGAAGCATAATCATAATTCGCAAGAGGATACAAAATATAGGATTAGAATTCTATTAAAGTGTTCTGATGATTCGTATGTTAGTTATGATGGGAGGATCGTCGATATCAGTCCTTGCCCAGCAAATCAAAAGGGAATTATATTGGTAGTCCCTTGTGAGCTAAAAGACTTGGTAGTTCTAAGTCAAATTCGTCTCTTTCCCGATGAGAATTTAGAGCATGACCCTTCAAAAAGACAAGTTGCATATCAAGGAATTAGGCATATCCTTGATAAACACCCGGATGGTGTACCTTTAGACCCCATTGTAAATATGAAACTTGATGATGATAAACTTGAAGACCTGATCAAAGTAAGTTCTATATACTGATAGTTTGATGAAAAAAATGTGTACCTTTATATATATTTTATTAATTAATCATTATATCTTTCGTCTGATAGAAAAAAAGTTTAATTGATCGTAAAATCGAGTCACATTCGATGCATGACGCTCATGATGCATACAAACTTTATTGCGAAAAACTTGAATTGCAAGAAAAAATCCGCAAAAAAAAGTTGGAAGTCCGTGAAGCAGAAGCAATCCTTCATCTTGACGAATTAAAGAAACGAAAACGTCTACTTCGCAGGATGCAATACCTTTCAGAACATGACGTGGTGGAATTTAAAGGAAGGATAGCTTGTGAAATCACTTCAGGAGATGAATTGATCTTAACTGAAATGTTGTTAAACGGGGTGTTTAATGACCTATCACCTGAAGTGATAGCAGCTGTGCTAAGTTGTTTTGTATTTGATGATAAATCAAAATGTGGAGAAGGAGATCTTAGGGAAGAATTCATAGGTCCGTATCGCGAGATAAAAGAAACCGCACGAATCATTGGTGAATTATCGGAGGAATGTAATATTCCCCTTGATAAAGATGATTATGTTGCAACCTTTGCGCCGGATTTAATGGAAAGTGTCTACATTTGGTGTAATGTAAGTTATTTTTTTTTTTTTTTTTGCTGAAGTCCGATATTTTTAATTTTATCTTTATTAATTATTGCTTTGTTTAGAATGCCACATTTGAGGAAACATGCAAAAAAGTTGAATTGTTTGAAGGTAACCTAGTTCGAAACTTTAGGAGTTTGGATGAACTGTTACGTGCAATGGTCGGTGCTGCTAAATGTATTGGGGATATTGGGTTGGAAAATAAATTTTCTATGTCAATTGAAAAACTTAAAAGAGGCATAATATTTGCATCATCATTATATCTTTAGGTACAGTATATTTGGAAAATATTTTTATTCTATTTTTACCTATAATAATATTGTGAATTAAATTCTGAATTACGAAAAAGTGTATTTGTATATACTAAAAGAAAAGATTATTATACCTTGAAAGTTTAATGGCAAGCTTGAGTTTTTTTTTTAATACAATCTAATTGTAAATAACGTGATAATCCGTCGTTGGACATTAGATGATATTTCTTGGTAGAGTCAACTTATAAAGAGCGCAAAAAACTTTTCCAATAGGAGTAATGACTGGGTCATGACCCGCAATAGAGCAGCATATATTGTAAGTGGAGAAAAATAATTTTTTTTATTATTGCTGATAAATTTATTAGTATTATCTAATTTCTTAAATCGTTAATATATAGAGGTGATAGTAGTTTAGACAAAGTTGGATTCTTTGAAATCACTAGTTCAGTTTGCACTGCAGATTATCGACATTTTCGGAACATTATTTATATTTTGTATTCTTTCCAAAATGATGGCTGGTGATGTTCATTTTCAATCAAGAATATATAAATTTCGTGTATGAATGATGGTTATTGACAATTAATTACGCGTCTTCTTCCAAGGATTGTTGGGTTCATTTTTTAAAAAAAATGTATGAGCCAAGTTTCTTTTGATGTGTGTAAATCTTTTTTTTCACTTTTTTTTTTTTTTTTTGGAATATAACTTTTTTTTTTTTTTTTTTTTTGACATTTTAAATAAATCGGTCATAATTCTGGCCATTATTGCCTGACCAGAATTAAAAAGTCCAAAACTCAACACATGATGAGACCATTTCATTAACTCGTGGAAATTTATTACATTCACATGGTTCACGTGTGACCGTTTTAAAGTTTTTTAATATTCTCGCGTGGATTTACATGTACCAAAATAAAGTTTTTCTTTTGAGGTTAATCTTTTTGGTAATTGATGGTTTTCTAAATGATACTTGGAGATCATTACTACTTTACTTAAAAGAAGATAATTAAAGTAATAACATTGTTTGTCCTTCCAAGGTAAGAAAGTACAACATAAACAAATGAATTGGTATAAATTGTCATAATGTGACGAGAAAATCACATTGTTCTCTTAATCAAGAAAATATCCATTCAACATTTTTTTAGGATAATTATTTAAGAAAAGGTTATTCGACAATCAGTCAGAAATTATTCCAGTTAAAACGAAATAAAACAATAAACTCTCCAAAACGGTTTTTTTATCCTTTAATATCACAACTTTATTTTTGGTTAAAATCCCAATCACTTTAACGCGTATCATTATCACAAATATATTAAGTAAATCCTTTTCATTAGTTGAGCTTTGAAATTTGGGATTGTCATATTATGATGTTCGCCATTGTTTCGTGAAAAAATCTTCACGTAATTTTGTTAGTTTGTGTATTTTGATAACTTTAAGGTAGCTTTGTGAACATGTTATCACCTAATTAAAGTCGACCGATAATTAATTAACCTAAACATTTATGTGCCGCGTGTTTATTTTTTATTTGGACTAATTTAATCTGGGGATACTTGTTTATCGTTTCATGTAAAATCTCGGTAATCGATTTTAAGTTAATTGCCAAACAAATAATGTAACTTTAGTGGCTAAATGACACGAGGGGGGTGGTGAGAAAGTTCAAGAGAAATCCGAAAGTATTTGTTGAATTGTGATTTTGTAAATGAAAAAGCGGGCAATTCTATTGTTTACCAAGGAAAAAAAAACTTTGCCCCTTTTTAAAGATAGACCTAAATAAGTTAAACATACCCCATCAATAATAATCTCAAAACTTGATTGTTTTACATAAATGCATAACCGATACTTATATAGTTCTTGAAAGCATTATTCTCTTAAAAAAAAAAAAAAAAAAGATCGGATAAATCAATTATTTTTGACATTTTATTTTTATTTTTTTTTTTGAAATTTGACGCGACAATATCTCATGTTTTACGAATTGTTCGATTTGTTTGTTTCTTGTGTAAATCAACAAAAAAAATTTTTTTTTTTTCAATGAATTTAATTCATTGTATTAAATGATTATTAATTGTAGTAAGATCAAAAAAAAAAAAAAAAAATGTAGATAATGGAGGATTATTCTATTATGAAGAATAATGAAATAATGAGAGATTTTGAGACTAAATTTGAATTGTCAACCCATTATTCAAAAAAGATAATCGAGTTAAGGGTGATTTTATTGAAAAATTTAAATTGTATCTCAAAAAACAGGTAAATTCGATTTAATTCGTAATAACAACGGAAAATTTAGCGGTGGAATTAAATTGAAATCTACGGTACGTCAATCACGCATTACCTGACACTTACCGGCCTCGGGTTTAAGTTGGATACATAACAATGAACAGAATACAATGTTGGCGAGGGCTGTGTGAATTTCTTCGAACCTTTTATGAACGTGTGAGAAAAAAAATAATTATTTATGAAATAATTATACATAATTTGAGAAAATCATTTCCACAGGTTTTATAATAATTTCTACACGAGGTTTCATTGTAATTATATACAAATTTGCCAAATTTGGATTCAATAGAACCTTGCTTAAATGTTTATTCTTTTATGAAATTTTCACAAGTTATATAAACAAACGTTCATTTCAATGATAAGAAATAACAAATTTTTTTTAATGAAAGAATTAAAAACAGGAAATTATTCGCTCACGACAAGATAATAAATACCAGATTTAACATTGTTTGTACCCGTGAGAAAATCTGACAAAAAAAAAATTGTGATGATTTCTTTCGAGACGAAACGAATAATAAAAATTAAAAACTAGAAATGACGTGTGTCGCTTAGTTAAAAACTAATAGATATCACCAATCAAATCTTTTTACGCTTTAGGCAAGGGATCTTTTCTTTACCATTTTTTTATTTTTATTTTTATTTTCTTTGCAATGAGTCCCGCGCGATATTATTGGTTTCCCATTTTGCACACTTGTAATTCTTTAAAGGATAAATAACAAAATTTCCAGTTTTTTTTTTTTTTTTTGGAAGGAAAAAAAAGTGATAAAGCTTGAAATTCCTGAGGCAGCACTGAGTTAGTTTTCGGCACAAATTGTGGTCAAAACCGTTAATAATTTTTTATGTCATCATTGGTTCATTAGATTAGGAGGTTTTTCAAAAATAGAAAAAAAGGAAAAAATGGTTATATGATGGAAGAGCATATGATTGAAATAATGAATGAAATATCACAAGCCTAATGCAATTATATAATTTTAATATACACAAATCAGTTTACGAAAAAAAATTATCACTTAAAAAAAAAATTCATTAGGTATAATATAATACCTTATTCAATTATCGAGGATCAACAACCAAAATTATATTTAACGCCCAACCATGTATGTAATGATGTAAGTTTGTACGTATGTGCATTTGAAGCGCGTTAAAAAAAAAAAATAAAATAAAAATAAAAAAAAAATAATAAAAATTCAGGCAATCCCGATCTGCCTGCTTTTTCTTTACATATTCTAAAATATATTTTCGTGTGGGGAAGTAATGTCAACTAGGTGAATCATTGTGATTGAACCTTTGAAAGGAATTTAATAAACGAATTAAACGCCAGTTAAGAAAAAAATATTGCGGGGAAGGAGTTGACAGGAGATAGATTTACATTTCAATTGATTTGCAAAGATTAAAGATTTATACACGAACTGGCGCGAATCTTATGACAAAATTTTGGAAATCCCTAGTTTTAAAATAAGGTCGCGTAATATAATTAATTATTTTAGGTATGTATCTAAACTGTAAAAATAGTATTATGCATAAACGTTTCACGCATATTTTCTTTCAATCAGCTTTACGCGCCTTATGCAAGTATCGTCAATGTATCATGTGCGTATCGTTTAAATTATGAAAAAAAAATTTTTATCTTTCGCTTATTTTAAATTAAGCAGGGAAATGCAAATCGATTTATTGAGTAATATTGTGGGGAAAATTCCCTTTTTCCTTCTTTATTTGTATTTAACAAGTTTAAAGAAACAGAACAATATCCTATGCAAGTGATTCTACATTACTTTTATCATTTAAAAAAATATGTATATGTTTTGCGTGATATTAATTTATTAAATTATAGAAAAATTCTCAAAAAAAAAAAAAAACCGGCCGTAAACAGGTTTATACGTGTTGTAGCACACTTATGCCTTATGCTAATTCAAACAATCAAATTATTTGACTATATTATAACTAAAACTAGCATTTGTGATATTTAGATTCTAATTGTAGGTTAATATTGTTCAATGGCGTGGGATTAAGTTTTTGGGACTGCGAAAAAAATGAATCTTCAAAGCACGGTGCAATATAAACATTAAAGTAATCAACGTTGAAATCAAATGTAGAAGATATATAGGTTTAATTCGCAAGCTGTTTTGGCGGTAAAATTGAGAGAATACCTTATAGTAACAAAGGCTTAACCTAAGAATGTAGAGGATTGTTTTTTAACAAGCTACGTAGATTTCATGTGACACACTATATTATTTACAGATTTGCTCATGTGCTATATCGTCATCCCGACGGATAAATTATATCTAAATCTTTAATTCCCAAGAAAGGTTAACAATCAATTTCTTTTATAGTTGTTATTAAAATTCTGATTCGATAATTGTATGACATATTATTCTGGAAACATGCAAAGGAACATGAGGGAGAAAAAAAAATTTTTTTTTCAAGTATTTTTCAAGTTTTCATGGATGATAAGGAAGTGGCACGTGATTTTCTTTTCTATTGTATTCCGTATTGCTATCCAATCAGAAATGCAGCCTAAACAATACGAAAACGCGTAACATATCGGTACAACAACTTTTATCATCATTATTTAAACAAAATGAGGTTCATTGATCCTTTGAAAAAATTTTAAAGTTTAAATAAACAAAATAACGGATTATTATTATTTATTTATTTTTATTTTATTTTTTTTTGAAATTGCACAAAACTATGAAAACTAGAAAGAATTCAAGTTTCATATGCGTAATTTATTTTTTTCTCCTTTTATTATTATTGTATTATGATGTATATGCTGTGTGCTTTGGCGGAGAAGGGGTCGATTCGGTCATTGTGAACGGCTGATGAATGAATTACTAATAATGAAGCATTGATGGATCGATTTTTTATTTCCTTAAATTTATGTATTTTATGTTGTGAAAAAAAAAATTTTTTTTTTTTTTTGATTACAATATTCAAATTTTTTCTTCTTACTTAAATGTAGGTTCATTCACTCATTTAGATCCCACCTTTGTGTAATATTCTAAGAATTTGTTTTAAATTTTCTTTGTGGGGAGGGGAGTAAACAAGTTTTTTTTTTTCTAAAAGATTCTTCAAAAAAAAAAAAGATGAGAAATCACCTGCTTAATGCACGTATTTTGACCGGGGAAGCAATCACTTTTAATCTGAAGTTAGATTGAAACAACTTTTTTTTCCAATTGATTTTGGGTGTGATGAATTCTATTGAAGTTTCAATTGTATCTTCTCGATGCGATGATTTGAATGTTTCGTTTTAGTGATAGTCCAAAGCAGATTACATTTGAAAATGTTTTACATGCTCCATTACAATCAAAAGAGATTATACCTCTAGAAAGCGATTGTGAGTTTCATGTATGATGGATCACAATGACATCGATACTTTTTATTTATGCCAAGGAACTTGAAGAACGTATATCACAATTAAGTAAAAAATGGTTATATTGTTTAGTATTATTAATATTTTAGTGACATAAGTTTAAATTAAAAAACGCATTTTTCAATATAAATAAAAAGATTCCCTTTTTTTTATTTGTGTATACATAAAATGTTTCACGTTACAAACAATTATTCTATTATTATATAATCTTATACTATATAACAATGATAAACTAAATAAAAATAAATCAGTACATAATTAACTGTTGTTATTAAGTTTGATAACAAATAAATAAAGGAAAAATTTTTTTCATTGAGTTGAACTAAAATTAAATCATGGTTTAAATAAAATAGCGAAAAAGAAAGATCTCGAGATGTAAGTTTTATCCTTTGTTTACTCAGCTTCCATAACGTTAGATTGATAAGCAGGATAAATTGGCGTTTTTTTTACTGTAGTGTTCCGATTAATTTTTTTGAAAAGAAAATCGAACTTTAATAATAATATATAAAATTCTTTTGTACAATGACATCAAAGGATTTATACTATGAACGATTCAATTAATCATTTATTACTAACGTACCAATATAATTTAAGGTTATTCGGAAATAGATTACTTATCAATGAGGTTTTTTGATTACGAGAGCATTAATCTTTTAATCTTGATATCTGTGCGATATTTATAAGTTATGTATTATGCTAAACAAAAAAAATATCTATGCTAATGAATATTCCCAAGAATACAGTGTGAAAAAGAGATATGATACATCATTTTGTACTTTTGTACGTGAATTTTTATCTTTAACCGGTCCCTTAGATGGACAAAATATCTAAAAACCCCTAGAAAGTGACTATTAATCATGATGGGTTCTAGGAATAGGTGATGAAGATCGAACCAAATACAGTCCTTAACTTTATGAACATTACACAACGCCTAGTAATTTTAGGGGGTCCAATGAATAAAAAAAAAACCTATTTCTTTCGGCATTAAATATCGCACAAGAATGGATCATGTTGAGCAAAGATTGTCGTTTGATTTAGTTTATATCCCCGAAATTTAATCATCTCTAATAAATCACACCCTCTCATCATTTTACTCGAGATAAACCCCATTTGCATCTTCTTTTTAAAGATATGCTTAACCTTAAACCTTGGGTTTTACATGCGAGTATCTTTTGTTCATTGGCTAAAAAATTCCTCAAACCATAGATTTAATTTGCAACTCTTTTCTTTTTACAGTCATCATCTCATGAATGCAAGGGTTTGAATTTAATTCTGATATTACATCAAGCATAATTGTGAAAATTTTTTTTTTCTCAAAAAGAAATTGTTTTTGTCAAAGTACATTTGCTATCATAATGGACACTTGTATCTTGCATTTTCGCATTATACTTTGCATCTTTGAATAAGGATTGACCGTAAATGGAACAAAGATTCTTTGTGGGGTACATTTTTTTTCTTATGTCTAAGCTCTACCATACATAATTATCTTACCGACAAAAGCAATATGGTTTAGCTATGAGAACTTTTTTTTTTTAATGCTGCTCGATCCATCTCTCCCCACTTGTAAATCAAAGTCGTACCACGCCTTTGGATTTTATTGATTTTAGAGGAAGTGTCGTAAACATGCATGACATCGCTTACATTCATGCAAAAATTTTCTTTGAAAGATATTTAGATTACCTTATGTTGTTATTTTAAAAATGATGAGTTGATATTCTTTATTAGGAATTGTCCTGTATATCACGTATAATTTAGGTCAGAAGATTCAACATGGTCTTATTTTTTTTTTATGAAAGTCTTGTAAGGTTAAAGACTTTCATTTAATTAATGAAGATACTTTTGATTAAATGTTTTCAAAATATATTTTTTTTTTGTCTTCAATCTTGCTTTTTAGAAAATTTGTTATTTAGAATGACACATGTGATGAAAGATGTATACAGTAATGATATTCCAAATTTTATGAATTTCGGATGGCTAAGATGCTTTTATGGATAAATTATTATTTTTTTTTAATCGATTAAAAAATTTACCTCAAGTAAATTTGATTTTATTTGTATTGATTGCATTGTTTATTTTATTTAAAATTGCTCTTTTCTGGTTAATAACGCACATGAAAAGTAAACAACAATTTTTAATTATTTGGTTCCTTAAACTTTATCTTTTTATCTTTGGGAAGTGATAACTCGAGTTTGTGACATGTGACGAATAAATCAATAATCACTATCATCATATCAATGATCAACAATAACGAGTTCCTTTTGGCTAATTCTTCAAGAGAAAAAATTGGTAAATCATATTAGATCGTATGATTTTGGATATGAAAAAAGTTTTTTTTTTTATTAAAGAGTTCCAAAATGGATTACAATAGCAGCCACGTGCCAACGTGCGATTTGCAAGATCACGTTAATTACCAGTTGTAAAATCGCGTAGGATTATATATCGGTTTATCCTCAATAAGTGGCATCCAAACTTTCTTCTTTTCATAATTGAATCCTTTTAATTTACGTTTTCTGCCTATTCCTTCTACTTCTTCAACGTGTTTCTTTTCTTTGATGACATATTTCATGTGCGCCTTTTTCATCTTTAACCAACTAAATCGACCTCTCGCGCCATAATTTGGTTTTTTCCGATAGATCCCTTTACCTACCCAAGCTTGTTCTAAATCATACATACCATTGAATCAGTTGAGATCATTATAATGAAGAGTACGAAATACCTTGACATACCAATATAACATTTGTCAGCTTCCATGGCTTTATATCTCCAAGCATGACATCGAGCAGTTATTAAAGAATTCATGATTTTTTTAGATGCTTGCTTTGGTGAAAATTCCATTTGTTTAATTGCCTCGTTAAGAGATTTACCGGCAATTTGATTAGCTAATAAGCTAAGTTTACGTGGAGAGATATGAAAATTCGTTGTAGAATATCGATGCTAAGAAAAAAAAAAGTAAAGGCATGAAAATTTAGATCGAATCGGGAGGCTTGTTCCATGTCAAACTTTCAAACGAATACCTCTGTATGTTTCTTTTTTGCCTCAGTATACCTTGAGTCACTTGGATCAGTAATTTTTGGAACATCTTCCTTTTTCTCCTTTTCATGTTCTAAATCAAAAACAGATGAAGCCCCAAGCTCGGGATGAGCTGATTTCAACATCACAGGTTCTTTGTCCTTTTTCTTCTTCCAAGGTAACCATTTAACTTTCGAAATAGGTGAATTATGTAAAGATCTGATTTATCGTTTTTTTTTTTTTAAAAAAAAAATAAATAAATAAATAAATAAATATCAGACAATTCATGTTCATCAAAGTTAAAAGGGCATTCAATCTTTTTTTTTAAAATTACTTTGATTAGAGGTGAACCGTGTTAATTGTAAGAAATGAATATTTCAAACATGTATTTCTGAAATAAGATACCTAATGGGACAATTTCGGAACGGTTGGGTTTTAATCAAAGATGGTTGAACAAAATTTTTAGTCAGCCCGGAAACTGATTAATTTAAAACAATACAACGAGTTCTCAATTTATTAAAAATTCCTTTCATAAACTCGTATCAAATACAAATATCTTAAAATAATTTTCTTTACCAAGTGATAACATCAACCTATTTCTTGATATTGATATTTCCATGTCTAATTAATATGTCTAATTAATAAAATCAAATAAAATTAAGGTTCAATATAATAGTAAAATCATTGAAAATATTCCCTTCTTGTTTCAGGGCAAGATCTCAACAAGAGGTAAATCTATTTTTTTAATCAAAAATTGCAATGATGTTACATCGTTAATTCGGAAGCCAATGATTTTTGCAGGACCAATCCCCATCAAAAATCGCGACGGTTCCACGGAATCCTGCGGAACATCGTAATAATTTCGGAAATTCAGTTGGGAACAACCAGCTCTGAAAATAGCATTGTAATTTCCGGCTTTTTCATATAAATTTCTGCAAAAACGGATAATTTCCCGGTAAAAACGAATTTCCCCTGACATACTTTTTTTCAATCAAACAAAAAAAATAATAAAAAATTTTTTTTTTTTTTTCAATCTGTTTATTAGTGTAAACGAATACTTTTTTTTTCTTTTTAAAAATAGAGGAATGATAACAAAATAGTATTAATCTTTTTGTTTATTACAAGTTTAGAACGGGGATATTTTTTTTTATCGATCATTATTTTTACAAGGTTGCTCTTTAAACAAAACACACAACGCACTTTGAGAATTCTTTTCCAAAACTGTTAAAAATGTATGATTATTATATAATAAAGAAATACAACTTAAAAACAACACATTTCGTAATATTGCAGATATCTTTCCCTTTTTTTTGGTTGTATATGTTCAACGTATACATTGCTTACAACATGTAGTGTCGTGTTAACAATAAGTTACTAAACTTTGACATTATGGCGTAGATTAAAGAACGATTACTCATGCATCATACTTCAGCAGCATAGGTACGTTATTTCGTTCCTTTTTTTGCCATTGATTGTTTTAAAAAATCATTCATTCATAACCTCATTCTAGGTTGAGAATCATTGATGACTGTGCAGACACGAGATACTTTATATGCGTATGTGGTAGATATGCACGGCACGAAACAATTTTGACCGCAGTATTCCACCCAAATTTTCTCATGAAGCTTTTTTTTTCCAAGTATTGGACATTTTTTGACTAGAATGAATTAATTATCTTGGATATGAGGAAACATTAATTAATATCTTTATTTGTTTATCCATTATCCCATTATCGTCGAGGGTGGCTTTCGACCAACAGAAATTCTCTCGAATTTTTCCCAAAAACATGTGAATAAAGATGATTCCTCATAATAAAAATTTACAGCATATAATGAATGGCTTATGCGGTCCTATGTAATAAATGTGTTAATTGATGACATTGACTTTTTAGTGGACCATTAGAACAAATTTAGAAAGTCCGAAAAATTCAGGGTCGAACCTTTTGGAAAAGAAGAGGATTTTTTGCTTAATCAAGAAAAGTTTTTTTTTTAAAAAAGGAATTAAGGTTAGAAACAAATCTGTGATTACATATCAGCTTGGACGTTATCCGATATGAAAAAAAGGGGGAGAGGTGAGATGTGTGAATTATCAATGTTATTATTAGATGCATCGCATTTTGTTTTTGTTTACTCACTCAATTTAATTTGTATTGAATGAGGTAGGATTAGGATAAATTATGTCTTGGATCCAGGAAGAAAAAGGGAATTGCTTACAATGATTTTCTCAAGGATGCTGTGTGATGTTCTGTAAAGCATTCGAAACTTGATTACAATTACGTTAATAAACACATGATAATCTATGGGAGTGAGGTTTGGATATAGTAACGAAGACAAAGAAAACATTTATATATAAAAAAAAATTCATATGACTAGCATTCAAGTTTAACTAGATTTGACAATGACTTTATTCGAAACAAAGAAAATTCGGAAAGAAAAAAGTACGCCCAATTTTGTGGAATCTTTAGGGATTCCTTCTACAATACCTGTTTGTAGCAAATTGGAATGAATTGTAGAACTTTCAACTTGAAACAAGAATGGGAATCAAAAGTCACATATATCACATCCCCTCAATTCAAATAACAAGTAATTAAGTTGATTTGGTGTGTGTATAGGGTTTTAAATGGGAAAAGGGACAGACAATCAAAAGTGAAAGAGATTAGGTGATCGATGATGGATATGCAACACAACAATCTTGGATGATTTTGCGAGAGTAAAAGAAAATTAGCTAATCCAAAAACAAAAAAAAAAGACGGAGAAGTTTGCGCGACAATTTATAATTAATAGATTAAATCAAAATAAATCTTTTTTTTTCTTTTTTACTATTAATAAAAATCTAAATGACCGACCTCGTTTTATAATGATGATTAATATTCGTTATGAATAGGACTCTATTAATTCTTATTATCTTTCAATAAAACCACAATTAAAATCATTTTGCAAATCTTTGACTGAATTGTTCGTGTGTTCAGAAGATTTTTTTGATTGTGTTGCCGCGATTAAATAATTCACAAATTAGGTAAATTTGATGTGCGTGCGAAACCAAAAAAGGAAATTGCGAGAAAATACGCGAATATCACTAGCTTTATGAGATGCTATGGAGAAATAAACTTGAAACATTCCAAAAAACCGAAATCATGTGTTAGGAAGTTCGTATTACGTTAAATATTGTGACGTAGTTGGGTAAAAATATTAAAACCTAATCACTAGGTAAGATCGATCTGATGTGACTTGCGCGTTTTCGTGGGGAAAATTATTCTTTTTAAAAAGAACAATAGGATTCGCTTAATTCAGACATAAAAAGGCCTTTTCTTAACAATGGACCATGTACTCACGCGTGCATTTGTGTCAAATAAACGAGATAAGCATAAAAATAAAATCTCTAAATTGAAGCGATCTTTTATGATCTTATGGTCTCAAAGAGGAAATAAAATGGAATGAATTGTGATTGTACATGTTATTTCATTTGCTTTTTTTCTTTTTTTCCTCAAAAAAAAAAAATTTCAATTGTTCTATATTATGACGCGAGATCACTATTCATAATTAATTACATATAAACATTATTACGGGGATTTTTTTTTTCCTAAAATTTCATGTGATCAGTTTTGTACTAAATTTAGTAAGATGCTTATTGAATAAATAACACAAATATTGTCCTATCTAAAGCGCCGAGTTTACATAAATGAGTAGAAAATAATCTTAGATAATTATATTGTTCAGATTTATTGTTGACATGTCGTGTATGTATTACGTAAGCCGGTTCTTTAAAAAGAACTATCTTGAGAATACCAATACCACACAATTCATTTATCAAATCCGGTTTAATTTGTAAATAATGCATTGTGAGGGAAAAAAATTTTTTTTTCACCCATATTACTTAATACTTTAACCAAATTTAGTCATAGCGAATCTGATCAATGTCTTACGTTTTTTGTTTGAATCTTTTTTTTTTGCATCAAAGTGAAGTGATAGGAAAGAAAATTTGATTCGATTATTTGTAACAATGTAGACTTGGGGGCTTAAGAGAAGTTCTTTGTAAGAAAAATTTTTTTTAAGACAAATGAAAAATCAATTAAATTGTTTCGTTTTTTGTCACCATAATCATTGTCCCATTTTCGTTACCGTAATGGTCGTCATTCAAGTTTTTTTTAATAAAAAAAATATGTAATCAAGATTATATGACCGGTTTATGTGGAGCTTTTGATAGATCTGAAATGAAAATGTATTAATTATTTTAATTATTGAAATTTACGCGCCACGCGCCATTTTGTTTTTTTTTCCTTCGTTTTCTTTACCATTCTTTGCTCATTCTTTGCATTGAGCGCTTTAATATAGTGAAAGTGAATCGTTGACGATATACAACGAACATGAAGATTTATTATTATTATTTTATTTTAACAGTTTCTCTTAAAAATCCGATTTTTTATATATCATTATGCGCAGCAATTAATTACTGTGCGCTGTCAAAATAAAATAAAGTTAGGGCGATCTGCAATGTCAAATGTCAAACGTCAATGATGATCTTGATAATTTTCGGGACATTAGATTATATTTTTTTTTTTTGTTGTTAAATTATCTCGTCAGTTTAGTAATTACCGTAAAAGAAAGAATATGTTTATTATTGATTACAATTGTTTCTTTTTTATTTATTTATTTATTTACTTTTTTGAAAGAGAAATTCATAAACAAATAAACAGTTTTTTTTTTTTTGTGCGCTTGTGAGAAAATCAAAAATGATATCAATTGAAAAAAAAAGGAGACCGTTGACAGTTTACACCTCGGTGACAGTTAAAAAGTTTGAGAATTCAATTGATTTCAATTTTTCAATTGAATTCATTGTGATCGATTCAATGAAAGAACAATATGAACGCTTAGCCAACTACTTTTAACGTTCTCGATGCTTTCTTGTTGTTTGTGTATAGGTAACAGGAAAAAAAATCTAAGCCGTTTTAATTTTGAATTAGATTCATTCTTATTCTACGCTTAAAAAAGGTTGTATCGTACATAATCTCAATAACAATAGAAATTTAATGTAAAAAAAAAACTAGTGTGGAGACGCGATATCGCGTTTTATTATCGTATAAAAAAAAATGTAATATTACTTGACGTGCATATTTTATTGTATCAAAATCATCACGACAATTAATTATTTCAAAGTATTGTATTTCTACGTCAGTTTTTGCCGAAACGGGTTAAATAATCAAATTCATGCAAAAAAAAAAAAAAAGATCAGGTTTTGAACGCATCTCCAACAGATTAATTAAACCATGACACTTACCAAGTCTGTAGGAGGCCCACTATTTTTAAATCAACAGCTCTGTTGATGTGATTTCGAGTACGGTCATGCAGAAGAAAGGCTCGATGGCGTACTTTATTCATCCGAAACGATTTAGCCCAAATTTAGCACAATTAATTCCAATTTGGATAAATTCAAAAAAAAAATTAATTGAAACTTTGAATTTTATTAAGAGTAAAATGGGTATTAGTTGAAATAATAGTAGTAAATGAATCCGTCAACTAACTAATTTCACTAGGTATTTTTTTTATTTCAAGAGTTAATAAATAATAAGCAAATCCATATATTCGATTAGAATCATTTCGTGTTGCAGTATTGTGAAGTAATATTTATTAATTTTTTTTTTTATTTTACATAAAATTAACAAAATTTTTCAAAAAGATTCCATGAAAAATAGACCTTTTTTTTTTTACTCGGATCACATGTACCATACTTTATTATTATTTTGTGCCGAGCATTGGCGTGCCTGTAAAATATTCGTTTATGAGCGGCGATCTCCAAATATTTCCTTTTTCGTCTCTCCTTTTTGTCGAGTTTTATTTTTATTTTATTTTTTTTTTTTTGTTAAATAAAAGAGTAAAAAAGGGAATGGAAGAGCCTGCGCAAAAAAAAAAAAAATAATCAACTTACGCCATGTAATACTCCAGTTGTCCAAAAAAAAAATGAAAAAATGAAAAAATACAATGGAACTAAATATGAGTGGTAACACATCAACTTTAATTCAATTCAAGACCTTGAAGCATTGTTGTTTGATCCATATTTGGATGTCGTTTCGAATTTTTAATAAAACTTTAATATATTTTTTTTTGATCCCGAGCCCTTTTTACGTAAAGTACACACTTCTTTTCAGACAAGGAATTTTAATCGGTTTTACTAAAAGGGGGTTCATTTAAAAACGATACTATAATGAAGATGAAGAAAAAATGGGAAATTGACATGCGAGTATTACGCTTTGATTATTCCAAAACAATGGATTCGACGTTTTGAAATGTAATTTATTAGCTCAAAAGTGAGTAACGTGAACAAGTCATTCTATTTTAATCTTAAAATTTTTTTAATTTGTTTTCATTATATTTGGATGACTTTTATGGATCCTTTCATTATTTTAGGTGATCGTATTACAATATTCCTAGTTACGATTTTAAATTTAGGTTGTTAACTCTTAAGAAACATTATTACTTGTTTTGATCTCCAAGCCAATAATAAGCAATGTTTATCAGAAAAAAAAAAGTATTCATACATAGTAAACGATTCCATTTGCTCCCAAGAATCTTTTTTTTTTTAAAAAAAAAAAAAGAAAAAAGAAAAGGTGTTGGACATTAAAAGATGATCAGCAAATCGTTTTCTTCAAACACTGATCTTTTTTCTATATCAGTGATATGAGAGATCAAGATGATAAAGATGATAAAAACTCAAATTCTCATTGTTTAAAAGATTATGTTAATTAAAGGTCCAATTTGGAACGTTTATTTATTTTTGGTTATTATTATTATTTTCGTAAGAAAGAAAAGCGGATTTTCGAATGTTTATGTTTTGTGTCAGTATTTATCGATATCATGATGTTCAAAAATATTTACTCAATTTCTCTTGAAGTAAAATTTTCACGGAGGTTCAACGATCTTCGGAATTTGCCAAAAATGGAATTTTCGAAGCAAGTGGGTTTGCCCCATTATTAGGGTTTAAACTACATATTTGTTTACTCTGCTACAATAGTCATTGTCGATAATAAAAATATGACATCATCCTTATTGGATTTTCGTGTTACAATTAAAATGTAAATTTCTGTTGTATTATATACAAGGCGGGAAGAAGCATACAATTCAAGCAATGGTTTTCATTATGAGAGGTTCTTTAATCACAATATCTGGTCTTTTTACCCGTTGTGCCGTCTGTTTATCACCACAAGTCAGTTTACTTTTTTATCTGAAATTCGTCGACATCACACACATCAATCCGCACTCGTTTTTTATCAATTGTATGTAACATAAAGTTCATATTTTCGGAAAATCCCAAATTTTTTCGTTTGTTGGTAAATAAATGATCTTTATTAACAAACAAAAAAACCGAGTTTCAAGTCTTTTTTTTTCCATTGTTTAGAGTTGCCTGCTCAGTTAGAATTTAACCTAAAAAATTAACTAATCAATCCATTAAACTTAAATTTTTAATAAAACTATAACTTTAAAAATATTTTTTTCGGGTATGAATTTTTTTTCTTTTTAGGAAATGGAATTTTTTTTATTAAGCCGACTTGGCGCAGTAAATCGATGGAAGGGTGTTTAACGTGTCAAAGGAATAATTTCTCACGCAGTAATTAAGCGCTCGGATCGTATTGAGAAAATCAATTCATTATTATTTATTCCCTTTTATTAATCTTTTTTTTTTTTTGAAATCTTTCAATATTCTGTGGGGTACATTCATACATTTTGCCATTACACCATTTATTGCATTTGCATGCTAGATTGATAGATTACAACTCACGGACAACGCATCTTTTTTTATGACAGTTTTCGAAATCCATGATCTTTGGTAAAAAAAAGACTAATTTTTCTCATTGTATAATTAATTGTGATGTTCAAGGTGTCCGAATCTCGTCACAAAATAAAAGAACACTAATTCGTAAATGAAATTGTTATTTTACATATTGTTTTCGCCAATTTTTTTTTGCATAATATGGCGTAAAAAAAAAAAAAATGAAAAAAAATTTGATTAGTAAAAATCTCTCCCTCTTCCACCATGTTTCTGTGGGAGTTCGATAAATGATTTATAACCGCAGTTCGCATTGCATGATCAACGTAACAATTATACGAAAACGAATTTCATATTTACAAACTATTTCCATATTTCAACAAATTCCGGTTTTTAAACAGGCAAACTCAATAAGCTCTTTACAAATATGGATAATAGAATACTTTCCTTTTTTTTTTTTTTTTTTTTTTTTTTTTTTTAATAAAAAAATTTAATTAAATGAAGTAATTAATTCATGATGATTTTCAATTAAGGGTAATAAATTGGCCCGAACGTTTTTAATGTATTAAAAAAAAAAATTTTTTTTTTTTTCCCTGCCACTACGCCTTGTTTATTATAATTCTCTCATATCATACCCAATTATACGTAAATTCCCCAACGGATCCGCAAAAGGTTCTTTTATTCCAAGAAAAAAAATAGAACGTCGTGATTTGGTTAAAGCATTACTTTTTTTGGTATAATCGCCCCATCATCGTTATGAAAAAAACGTCACCTTAATTAAAAAAAATTTAATAGTTACCTAGTTAATTGTAATCCCAAATAAATAATAAAAAAACTAGTCTAGTTAATAATCCCAAATTGTCTATCGCATGTTTGACGTGTGTTTCGTTTAAAGTAACAAACCCTACCTACGCATGTTCTAAGTTTAATCCTAGGTTCAAGAATCCTAGGTGAGACGTTAAAAATGGCAAGATGAGTAAATTAGAAAGACGCTTGGTCTTGGGTTAGTGAAAAAAAAAAAAGCGCATTTTGCGACACTTTTTTCATGCTGTACCTCATGTACCTCAGTTGTTTTAAAACGTTTCATTGTGGTTTCTCAAAATTCTACGTACCCCAACAGGATATATATTCAACATTCCTTTACTTGGTAAACAAAAAAAAAAAAATTTATTTAATGCATTAATTATTATTAATTTACACCAATTGAACATCTCTTTTATTTAACCGATTTGAGCCTTCTTTTTTCATCTACAATTGGAGTTTCGAAAATATTTGTGCACGACATTTACGACATTTGATGTTGATATCAATCCTTTTTAAAAATGGGAATCGTTTCATCAAGTATGTGATAACAAAACAGGGGAGACGCGCATTCATGAATGCGCGTTGACGCAGATGCAATCGACTTGAGGCAAACAATGAGGTCACGCAATCTATGCGCGTCTGTGAAAAAACCTCTATGAGAAACAAATTCCCGACCAGAGGTGTTATGAATAAGTTGAATTGAAAGCTTGGGGTTCCTTTCATTTATCTCGCTTATGGTAAGGGCAAAAGGGTAAACAACGGCGCCAAATTGCATTTTATTGACTACGGGCTCGGTTTGCCTTGAAATGTCACCCCTGAAACAAATCCAAAGACGATTACTTAAATTAGAATTTCGCCAACAAACTAAGACGCAAGAACTTATCCACTCATGGAAGGAGGTAAAGGATGGAAAGGAAAGAAAGATGATCTTTCGTTGGGGCAAATAAAGTATCATGCCAATCGCATGGTGATTTTAGTTTTATTGCGTTGAAAACAAGCAAGAGCAAAAGGGCCAGCTGACTTGAAAAATAAAAAAATACGCGACAATCAAGTATGATTAAAAGAAAAGATGTTTATTATTTATTAAACGTTAGGTTTTATTAGGGTTCATTAAAATCAATATAATATTCGTTTTAGGTTAAAAATTACGACATATTGAATGCTAGATCATAAATAAATCTGTCAAATCTACCATAGCACATGAATTAAAATATCCATGCTAAAAGTCGAACCATGCACCCTGCATCCGGTTATTGTATAATTATTTAACAATGAAAAAAGGTTGCAAAGCACAAAACTTTGGGGTGAAAGAAACTCGTGGAACAAAAAAAAAAAAAAACAAGTTTTCTGATGCATCGGAATATTGCGATGTGTGGAGTAATGATGTTTTTATGATTTAGAAGTGATCCGTGATTTTCACGACAAGTGTCCCTGTACGATATTTAACATCGGAGGAAAAGGGACAAATATCCAAAGCGAGGTTTATTGGACTGCATGAAATTTTGTATCTCCTGAAAAACCCTGCTCCGGAGTCCGGAACTCATTGTAATGTTGTATTTTTTTATTTTTTCAATGGAATACCACAATTGTCATTATTCAGTATTCACGGTACACTCGGAATTAGAGTTTTTATTTCCAAACACACCAAAAAAACCAATCGTAAAAAAAATATTCTCAGATTTGTGCACATTTTCACGATTTTCAAAAAAAGTGTTGATTTCTTTTGGGTTAGGTTTGTAAACATGATGTGCCAAGATTTCAAGATTTTAAACCGGTTCGATCACCTATCTCATATATCTCCTCAAATGAGAACCATTATTGAATCAGAGCAATGAAAACGAGAAACATAACAAGAAATTTATCAATTCGGAAAAAAAAGCCCTAAACCATATTTTTTCTTAAAATTAAAAATCATTTCCTGATTTTCTTTAATAAAATTTTCTGATGCCAAATTTGTTCTTGTGATAGATATTATAGTTCAATTTTCCCAAGCCTTTTTTTTTATTTTTTTTCACGATTTCTTTTTTTTTTTTTTTGTACATTTTGATATCATGATATATAATAATAGATTTTACGCCAACTTAATCTTTTAATGGATACAACACATATTATGTGCAATTTACATTTTACATTTTGGTTGTTAACGTACATACAGACATTTCATCATAGGGCATTTCATCATAGAACGTTTTACTATCATCACAAGAGGCTTGGTTTAGATTATATTTATAGTAATCAGAACGAAAAATGTGATATATTTTTCCTTTGAAAACTTGAAAAGTATTAACAACGTTGGGATCTACGCCGCAAATTAATACCTTTTAATTACTTAACGATGATATAAGCAAGTTGTGATATCTAAAGATCTATCTTTTGAAACTATAAATATAATACAATTTTATTAAGGTTTATTATATAAATATATATATATATACCTCTTTTTTTTTTAAGGTTGGTTATATTTTTTTTTTAATTTTGAACACGTTTTCTTGTTTACAAACAAATTCCGCATTTTACCATCATTTCCAATAATTAACTTTGCGATTTACCCGTTATTAATGCTATTAAGCGCATTGCCAAGGGTTATACAGAATGATTGTACATCATTTACCTATAATTCTATAAAAGGAAATCACACAATAGTGTCACCTTCAAATGTTTAATCGTGTCACAAAACTTTATCTTGCTTTGGTTTGGATCGATATGGTTGGATTGTGGATGATCTCATAAGAAATCTCGAAAAACTGTTGTGAGACAAATTACGCCACTGATGGGCATGGCTTATTCCTCACACCATCACAGTCATCCAACGGTTTATGTCACCAACACAATCGCCACTTTTTCTGGATTTAACAATCGTTTGCCTAACAATAAAAAAAAAAAACGAACAACCATCAAAAAAAAAACTCAATGTCTTTTGTATACAAATTGTTGTTGCCTCTCAAATGACGAAATAAAGTTTTCCTATGGAATTGATCCTCTTTGCATCAACTACTGAATGATTGGGTAAACAAATAAACATACTTTATTAACTGTGATTTTGATTTTGTCACTTGACATACCTAAATTCTAGTATGTATGATGATTTTGTGCATATAAATGGAAATGCGTCTGAAAAAAGCATAATATCAACCTGCGGCGAAGTGATAATGGTGACATGGTGATAGGAAATCCATACCATTCCAAATTGGGATCTGCCTATTGTTTTTTATACCTGAGAAATTTTTGTTAATATTAAAACTTGGGAGAATACCGGTTTGCCCATTGACCGTGAGAATATTATTGTTTTGAATCTAGATTCTTTTGTAACCTGGCACCTGATGACGATATCTTGAAATCACCATTACGTATTTATGAATGAAACCTCTCCTGATACTTTTGTGTAATTCACGTAATTTCTCCGATTACACACATACTCTGAACCTTCAGGGTTCAAAGGACATTGTCAACATATAAGCGGAAGGTCGTTTGAAGGGTTAGGGTTGTAATTAAGAAAATATTTCATATTTCCAATCATAACCTCATTCGAAACGGGTAACACCGGTGTCAATGTTTACAGGTTCCGAAATATTGATAATCGATTTTTTCGGCTTTTTTTTTTTTTTCATCGAATTATATTCGAATGATCGAAACTTTTTTTTTTTAAAAAAAAAAATAAATAAATAAATACATAAATAAATTTCCATTTTACGCGACCTGACATCAACCGGGGTTTCCAAACGCTTTATGTTTTGTTTATCATTTATTATTCTTCTTGCAGTTTGCACCCGTGTAAATGAATTACAAATTGATGGTCCTTAATGAATGAAGAAGATTCGAATTTATCTTTTGAAACAGAAAAAAAAAAAAACAAAACAAAACAAAAACAAAAACGCGTAAATCATCAACAGAATTATATTCATTCAACTTTGCATCAGAAAAAAATTTTTTTTTTCTAATCCGTTTCAGCTTACTAAAATAAAAGTAAATAAACAAGCGAGTTCAATAAAGGTCGATAAAATTACGCCCAATGAACAAATAACAAACACGCACATTATCGACTCCGAGCTGCAAAAAAAAAAACAGATAAACGTTCTCACTTTCTAATTACGAGCATGATACATAGATTAAAAGGAGACGCATATATTTTTCTTTATTAGCTAATTTTAGATGCTTTTTCCAAACAAACAAGCGTCGTCGTGCGTGTAAGTTGATTGCGTGGTCAATAATGAAAAAAAATTTTTTTTTATTTTTCACCCACGCACAAAGTATCAAATTACAAATAATTAATTTATTTATTCATTTTTCCATCACTTTCCATCACAATTACACCCTTTGCGTCTTTATTTACAACTCTAAACGATAAATTTTAACAAATGTTACAATGTTTGAATTGCCCAATGAAATGCCAAGATGGATATCTTGACCAAAAAAAAAAATATCTGTATACCTCTTGTTTTGAACACATGTATACGATAAACAGTGCCGGACCATCAATCGAATGAGAACGGGAATCAAGTTGAAGAAAAAAAAAAAAAAGAAGGGGGTTTTTTTTTTTTAGTTAAAACTATAATTTTTACTACCATCATACATTTCATCTATATTTATATGGTTGATATGGTTGATTATTATAATCATTATAATCGAAAATACAAGATATCCAACAAGTTTGTGAAGATTTTAGACCAAGTCATGTTACGGAGAAAGCAGTATTAAGATATGGATTTTCGTCGGCAGTGTTACCATCGCCAAACAATCTCATCGGAATATAGTATTGAATATTCGCATAATCCTACATAAGATGAACTTTTTGTTTCAAAAAAGAATATTTTAATTTTTTTTTCTATTTTAAAATAGTTTTTTCTATTTTTTTCTATTTCTTACTCTTTATTTTAATGGGAACGTTTTAATTGGTAAAAAAAAAATATACACAAATAAAAAAACCTTAACCAGAATAGATGCGGAATGATTATAAGTGAAACTTGCAATTTTCTTAATGACATTATTGTCTTTCTCAAAATGTATTCATTTTATACATAATTCTTACACAACATTCTTTGTTTCATAAGGAGAATTGGCTTTTTATTTATTTATTTTTTGATTTTACCTCTGAAAAAAAAAGAAAAAAGGAAAAGGGAAAAGCAGGGGGAGCATAGGCCACCATATTATCGGTTGTCATTATCGGATTGTTTTTTTTATCAAGTTTCAATTCTTGGATATTTTAAGTGGAACTTGCGTGTGAGATACTGCGCACTTCAAATTTTTTTGATGCTAAATTTGGGTCGATTGATAATTTGTCTTCCCCCCCCCCCCCCCCCAATATCAGAATTTGTATTAATTATCATTTTTTACTTTAATTTATTTATATTGCATTTTTTTATATAACGTTCAAATGTTACCAATTTTTCTTAATATCTCAGATATTAAACAAGTTTCCAAATTAGCAGAAGTTTACCAAATACAAATATGGAAAAAAAGGGTCGTGTAACAAACAAATGTTAATTTCAATTAGTGAGAAATTAATTAATTTAATTAATTAATTTGAACTGACTAAAAACTTGTTATACCTATCCTATTATTTCTGCTTATTGTTTATTCGGTGACAATTTTAATAGAATCCTTTTTTTTTTTTTGGAAAGAGATAAACAACAAATAAAACAATAATCTACGGTTATACGCCTGTTGTTTAATTTTAAATGTGAATTTCAATTAGTGTTTCAAAGAAAGATTACCTTTTTAAAACAAAAACTGGAAAACAATGTAATCGATATTAGACGTTTGTAATTAATGCCAAATGATATTATTATTATCATGAGTTGATGGTTAATTGTTTATCAATTAAAAAAAAAGGATTTTTAATGTGGTACTTTATTTTGAAATAAAAAAATAGTCATTCAGACCACGTTAAGTAAAAAAATAATCCTTATTATTATTTTATTATTATTGATTTGCAATAATTTACACACAACATTAACTTTTGTGTTAATGGTAATTTATGATTCATTGTCCCAATTTTCATTCATATTAAGTTTCGGTGATAATTTTT